AGCAAAATGATGATTTTGATGACTTTATTTATTTGGTGATAGTGTAATTTGGATGAGAAAATTCTGTCCTCTCCCTGGATTGTAGAAGTGATTTAATTAAAAACACAAACCTAGGAAATAGTTTGGGATACTAGGACTTCATTTATAATGTCTCACATTCTTCTCCTGCCTCTCTCTTTTTTCTGTCTCCAGTAGTTTTGTTATGGGAGAAAACATGTTAGATAATTGTATTTCTGAAGAAAATCACACTGATTATATGGGCACCAGTTTTTAAAATGTTAGAAAATCCTAACTGTGGTAGGCCTTAAACATATTAAGTGGGAAAGGATAACTGACCTACCACCGATTTCCTGAACTTTGCTATGCTCTGATTTGGCTGCAAGGGCACCAGCATGCTGATACCTCTGGGGTGCCTGAATAGTGCATTGCTTCCCAGGGAAGGAAGATGCATATGAAAGGGGATTGTGCACAGTGGTTGATAAACACTGAAAGGAGATAAATGACAAAAGAAAAGGTAGGCCCTATGAGGTTAGAGGCAAAGCAAGCTGGCCTAGTCCTGGTGCTTCTGAGCAGGGGCAAGGAGTATGTTTCATTTCTCATCTCCTGAGTTTATTTAAATCCTCTGCTGGGCGGGGGTGGGGAAGAATGAAAGCATGATGTTATGAAGCTGATTAAGATGCAAACATGCAGATTATATCCAGCTCCTGACACTCTTCTTCACTCCAGCCAGTAAACAGAAGACTGCAAAAGAAACCTGATCCAAAGGAAGGGAGGGGAGAAAACAAGTCATCTCTCCACTTTTTAATGAAAGATTTTATGAATATATATTGTTTTTGGATTTCTGGTACATGCTACTCTAACAGATGATCCAAACTAGCCCCTGGCTGAAACCCTGGCCAGGGGGTTTGGACCAGGGGCAGGTGGCATTGGCAAGAGGGTATTCAGGGAGCTGCTGGCATTTATTTTGCTGAAGGGACCTCATCAGCAACCAAGCCTCCTCCTCCTGTGGTTGGTGGGCCTTGGAGGGGGCCTCCATGCGGATTTCAGCCTTGCTCCCTCTTCCAACCTCTCTGCCTTCTACTTTTGCATGGGGACCTCTCTTTCTCTCTTCCCCCTCTTTTCAATTAAATGAATTAATTACCACACGTTTAACTTTTTGCCAGACTCTTTCATTATCCCAGAGTTGTTGCTGAGTGGCAAAGGGAAGTAATAACATTCGCAGTGAGGGGCAAATCCTGTTAATGAACAAATTAAAGTTCAAACAGTGATTCAAGTTCACAACCTCTCCGTGGCTCTTCTCTTTAATAAGAGTTATACATGTTACTTTCCTCGCTCTTTTCTCCCTTTTATTACTTTTTAAGCTTTTCATCAACACCGCCAGAGCATATTTGAGGCTCCCAACCTTTCAGCCCTGACAAGGACTCGAGCAGTTATAATCCCATCTTAATTTGGCAACTTTTGTAAAACACATAAAGGGCCCAGGGTCACCTTTGGTCGCCAGGGCCCCGGGTGACCCTGTAGCTTCCATCTCCCGCCAGGGCTGCGTGGGCTGCTTTTCTGGGTATTCATCCCCCTCTGGCAGTCAGGATCAGAAGACCCAACTTCCGCGCTCCGGGCACGGCCAAGCAGGACGGGTCCACGAGTGTTCAAGCCTTCCTCCTGTCTGTTCCCTCTCCAGCCGTCCTCTACCAGAGCGCCGTGGGGGGAAGAGGACAGGAAGAGAGGAGCCTCCAGACTGAAAGCTGGGAACCTTTATGGGGCAATGGGTTTGCAGTAGGACGGATGCCCGATCCTCCTCCCCACCACCTCTGCCGAGTGCTGCTCGCCCCACTGGGGGCGCCTCGCCTTTCCAAGCGCAGGAAGCCCAAGCCTCCTTAGTCCTGACACTAGCGGAACCCTGGCCTGGTGGGAAGAACTCCAGAGGGGTCCGTGCCCGCCTACTTCTCTTTCCCCTTCTATTTTTTTTTTTTTTGTGCTGTGGATTGCGTGGGGGTCTTTTCCACCTCCGTGCCTGGCTTCTCACCACTATTCCCCCAGGCATGGCTAGATATAATCACCATGACAACTGCAATCTATGAGCATACACATAATAGAGATGAAATAGACAAAAGATTAGCATGCCATGAAAAGTACAATAAGTTTCTTATTTAGCATTTAGATAACTGTCTTTCCTTTGGAGCAAGCTTCAAAGTTGAAGCCAGTTTAGACCAAGAGGATTAATTCTTTCTCCTGCATGCTTCATTGAATCTCTCATTACCAAACTTTGTCTGTATTGATGTAAGATTTGATTGAAGATTAGAGCATTTAGCAAATCTTGCTTTTCTGCATGTATCACGTCCTTTCAAGCACGGATCGCGGTGCCCAGTGGTCAATACCCTTACTTTTATCCAGTGTCTGCTTCATTTAAACTTAATCAACTCCATCAATGAACTGGAACAGGGAAACGTCCCTGCGGTAAGAATGTTGTGCTTTTGTGGGATAATTCTTTGCTCTTTCCCGATCTGTTGGCGTTAAACCTAAAATTGCACTATGATGAACTTTTTTTTTTAATCAATATGATAATGACAATTGGGCCTGAACGCTCTGGTAGGACTTAGCGTAGAGCGGGATCTGGCCCCCATTACCAAAACAACTTCTCGTCATGAGATAGTCCGACTCCTTTTGTGTGGCTTTAATACCTTTTCTTCCCTGACATTGAATATTGCTCAAGCTGGAAAATGATGCATCTTTGTAGGAAAGGCTCGTATGTCACAGCCAGAAAGTGAAGCAGACCGATTGGTTGTGTGAATTATCTGACTTGCTGCAGTGAATTATTTGCACTGTTTCCCTACCTAGTCAACAAGTTCCTGAGGTATAGTAGAGATCAATCAAAACTGACAGCCCGCGTGTGAAGGCTTTACTGTGTAAATCTGGCGCGCTCATCCTGGCCATGCCGGCCCTGGCATCTGTATATCATTTTTATACTGCTACCAGTAGAGCAATTTCAAAAGTATTTGCAAGGAAAATGCGTGTCCCCATCTGTTCCTGGAAGCATAAATGTGCCACCTTCAGAGGGTTTTCACTGGTAATCATATCTTTAATGATCAACAGACTAGTGATATATACCTTTCCATAAAATGGGGTTTTCTTCACTTTATTGTGATTGGCTAGAATAAATAGCTTTTCCATATGTTAGGGAGATAAAACATAAGATTAGGAGAGGTCGTTTGTTGGATAGTAAACAAAAGAAACAATTCATTCGAAATAATCTTTGAAAAGAAGCAAAGACAAAATTAAGTTGCAGTAACAGAGTATCTGAGGCCCCCACATCAGGAAACAGACCTTGTTCCTCCTTGGAAAAGCAGCCGTTTAAGAGCAGAAGCTTAGAGTCTTCTAGGGTACTCTGGTGACTTATTCTCTGCTGGGGGAGGGAGAGGGGCAGGGGAGGGAAGGAAAGGCTGGAATAACACTTGTTTGTTCTACTTCTATTGTAGGGTCGTCCTATTTTCTTTCTCTTATTTTACCTACTATTTCGCCATCTCCACTGCAGCACCCTGGGTAAATTGCCAGTGGGGGAAAATGCCACCCTGCTGAATTTCTCTTCAGGCCTTTCAAAGGAGAGGGGAGTTGTTCACATAGTTTAAAATAAAGGTTGGCTTCTTCCAGCCAGAGATTTCTCTCTTCCGACAGAAAAGGGAGACTTTGGGAGGGCGAGCAGAGTTCCCAGCTTTACTTGAAATTCCAAAGCCTAGGGAAAGGGACCTCCAGATGGCCATGGACCCACCAGAGAACCCCCAGGAAGTGTTCTTAGTCATCTAATCCCACCTGTATAGGTCACAGCAGCAGATACAATCAGGCCCTGACCACCATCCCCCCTCCTCCCACACACCCCACGCACGCGCCGACTCCGCTCTGCGCACTCGGTGCGAAGAGCCCTTTTTCTCAGATGCAACCACTTTCAGTTCTACCAAGCCATCCTGGTGAAATTTGGAAGTTTCTCCTCCAAGATTCCAGCCCCAAATGTTTCAAGGCAGTGACTGCCTGCTTAGGAGACTCCAATTCTATTTTGTTCCCAAGGGTAGGAAGAGAACCTCCTGTTCCACGAAAGACCGACGTTTGTCGCAGGACACCAGAATCTGAATAATGCCCTCCGCTTTTGCACTCTCCAGAAAATAACTTGTGAGCTATGCAGACCTGTTCCCTAAAAGTCAGGAATTGAGAATCAGAGGGGAAGTTTCTCTCTAAACACTGAGAGCAGACCCCCCCGCCCCCCCCCCGTTAGTAGGTTATGTATTCTTTCCTGTTATGTGTTGTTACTAACTTCTTTTTTCCTTGGGATAACAGGCGGAAAGCCACATCTTTTCTGTATATCCTGCCCACCCCACCCCCCATGTTCCACAGAATACTTTGCTCTACCCAAATGCCTGATGCTCTCATTGCAGCAGGAGCGTGTGGGTGCTAGTTTCAAAGTGGGAAATGTGGTCTATAGGCAGGTCCCAAGAAGAAAATCTCTATTAGCATTTTAGACCTAATAGGTGTTAATTTCCTGGCTCCAGTGAGGCTTGAGAATAACTGACTGGACAGTAGAAAAACAGTTCATGGCCAGAAAAAAAATGGGTAAGAACGCAAGGAAAGATTTTCTTTTTAAATTTCCCCTTAATTTTAGAAACATAATCTTACAGGCTGGGTTGCACATGGGCAGGCATAGACTTACAAGTAGATCACACTTTGACCTGAAAACAGATTTACTGAAGTATTGCAGTTAAGACTGAAAAAAAGGGAAGTCACATTTGTGGTTTCCACATTTTGTGTGATGCATTGCAGGTCTTCAGTGAATTTGCTTGCCACAAGGAAATTCTGGCATGTGTTGTGTATGAAACATGATTTGTAGTTTCCTGATTTCTATGTTTTTAAATTCGATACCCATTTCGTATTGAATTTCTCTGTCATTTGTTTTCATAAAGTGAAAGGAAGTAAATCCTCACCGACTGGTTTTGTGTGGGAGAGGTAAAATGTGTAACATTTGCTCCTTCCCTTGTCCAGGAGGATGAAGCTGTCACTACTACAGTTGGGACCATTTCACACTCTGTGCTCTCGTGCTGTGCCTGGGGGTCCTGTCTAACCCACAAGCCTCTGCCGGGAACACTGACGTCCACACTGGAGTGGGAGACAACTGCGAAGCTCGAAGCTCAAAGTTTGCCTTTGAGGCTCATGTTGGCTGAGGATCTGAACCATAGAACTACAGGCATCCAAGGATCGTCCCAGGCTCCCAGGTTTTCCTAAATCCTAGATCGAAGTCACTTGTAGTACAGAGTTCCTTGCTGCTTCAAAACCACAGACCGTGTATGCATGCCTATGCATCGCAGAGATGGACATCTTGCCAACTACAGGACAAGGATTGAGAATTTGGAAAACACACACACCGCATTCAGGGTGAAAATTACCTATGCCGTCAATACTGTCTCTTCTCCTCCAAGAGTCTCCTTGCCACCGAACAACCTCAGTCAGTCGGTGCTTATTTCACTGAAAATGTACTTAATCTTAGATAAGCTACTAAAATATCTGTATGTAAGAATATAATTTGTTAACCAATTTTTTGAAAACAAAACCCCTTCTCACCTTAGAAGAAAATATTTAACCTAAACTCTAGTCCCAATATTTGAAAACATAGTTTAATAAATAAAGTATTAATTTGCAGTACTGCCTCATGATTGTCATATGCATAAGTATGTCATAGTATTTAGTTTTTAGGTGCCCCTTAACAAGGCAGGGATGAACAGAGATGGTATGGTGTGTGTTGGAAAGAAATTCAGTCTTCTGAACTAAGCTTAAGGAAGTGGTTCATTTGGTTAACAAAAATAAATTCGATTGATAGTTAAGGTGAAATGAACTCGTAAAATTTAGTATCAATTACAACTCTTAAGTTAAATTACTGATAAAATTCCACCTGGATCTTAAAAATGCCAAGGTGTTCAAAGTTGTCAGAAAATAAAAAATTGGGATTGAAGTTAATTTTTTGTTCTCCCTCGCTCTACACAGCATAGTAGTGACAGTTTTGGTCACTCCAGGCTTTTATTGGGGATTTTCATCTTGTTCCAGAAGGAAATAGCAGGAAAGCAACTTGTATAGTTCATAGCCTCAGTCTAAAGGACATTATTTCCAGGCAGAACTTCTACAATCACACTGTGAATACTGTTAAAGGACGTGTTTTAATTTTAGGCAGGGGCAACTGGGTTAGGCATTATATAAAATCTGGAGAAAACAAGAGTTTTCCTTACGAGGGAAGAGGGAGGAAAAAGGAAGTAAAATTAGTTTTACTGTGCAGCCAAAGGACTACTCCAGGCACCAAAGAGGTAGGCGCATGTAGATTTCTAGCCAGCACGCTGCCAGCCCATTCCATAACCACCTTGGGGCTTAGGGAGGTGGATTGCGGGTGGTTGGCATCAAATCCCGGTCTCTCCCACTCAGTCGGCTTTTGCCCAAAGACTACAAGTACCTTCTTCCTGGATTCCCTTTCCCCCGCTGCCCCCAGCTCCCAACAAAGACACCAAGGGGGAGCAACAGCGTTTTCGGGAAGCGGTTAGGTCATCTGAGACCGGGGGCGACGCGGTGCCCTCTGGGCGTTCGGGATGCGGGCCTAGGCGCAGTCGGGCACGTCGCGGGGCTGGCGGCGACCGCGGCCCGGGGCACGTGACCCGCGGACTGCCCGGGGGCCGGGAGCGACGCCAGAGCTCGCCGCGGGGAGGCGAGACTCCTCTGCGCCGGCCGACCCCGGGAAGATGGCGTCGGCCCGAAGACGCGCCCTGCCTGGCGGGCGTCGGGTTGCCTTTCTGCTCCGGCGCTGCAGGCCTGGGAGCTCTGGCGTGCCGCTAGTTAACCCTGGAGTTGATACCCGGGAAATGGGTGGAATAGGGACTACGCCCTGCCCGCCCTCTTCCCCTGGTCGAGTCCCAGGACACCGCCCTGGGGGCGCAGACGCGGGGCCCGAGAGCCTGGGGTTTCACGCCCCTGGGTCTCGGGCCGAACACGGGGTGGTGGTCGAGGAGGCCTGACTAGCGCAAGAGACCCTGTCAGTGGAAGGGGGACGCGGAGCCTCCTCTGCCTCCAGCGGCCCCTCCCTCAGACACCTTTCACCAGACACTTCTGATGAAACGTCCCCAGGGGCGAGAACCGCGCCTCCTCCGGAGTTCTCGCGCTTGCTGGCTGGGCGTTGGCGGTTGCTTCTCGCCCGCTCCTGGGTCCTCTCCCGGCCAGCCCCTTCGGCGTCCCCCTCCCAGGCTGTCGGGACTGAGCCAGAAGGTGACCGCGCCTTTTCCCGGGGTGGTGGCCCTCGCGGATGCCCCCGGTGCCCCTTGGTCGCGGGCCGAACTCCTGGGTGCGCCCGGGCTGGCCTGGGCTCTGCCCTGGGGCTTCTGCGGCCTGGAGCTGCGAACCGGGGCCTTTCCCGCCTCTCGGCGCCCGCTCCTCGCGTTGCTCGAAAGCCCGTCTGAGTAATAGTCAACTGTTTTTGTCACTTTCTTA